AACAGGCCGCGCAATAATCCATCATTAGTTCGCTCGTGAAATTAAATGTGCGACATCGTTTCGCGCATTACGCTTTCCCTAATGGAAATATCATTCGATTCGTGGTTGAAACGCAAAACAGGGGATCGCGATAGAGTCATCGAGAGATAGGAGAGAAAGATAAAATCAGAGCTAACGATACGAAGTATGATACTGATCGACTTACAAAAAACAAACAAATGAAACATACTTTCGAACGAATATTTCCGTGCGAATCCAATTTTTTAAAATACTTCAAATAATCGAGACGAAATGATTACTTACTTAAAATCAACATCGAATTATACGAGTTCAAAAGGAACCGATCAACAGTGGACCGTCAAAGGAAAAGACAAAAAAAACAGAAAGAGTTATAGAAAACGACAGAGACTTTGACTATTTACTGAAACGAGGGAAAGAAAAATCAGCTTTTTCTAATATTGTTTGTTTTTCTTTTGAAAAAAAGACCATTGGCGAATGTTTAAATATGTATAACGTAGGAAGTCATGGCAATTACCATGTAGAACGAGTCGGCGTCTTAATTAGGTCGACATCGACGACATCCATCCACGTCGTCGAGGACGACGAGAATGTCCGTGACGTTGAACGTTGAACGTGAACACGCGTCGACGTGTGTTGTTCACGAAAGACGACCACTCACCCCTTTAACACTTTGACATTTTCATCGGGGCTCGTTGTATATAAGAGAGATACAATTTTGAAGTACGGAGAAAAAGGTAGAATAAATGATACGGCTAACGTGCTTCTCTTTGCTTTATTTTATGCTAGTGCTGCCGACTTCTTCCTATCGATCAAGATCTGACATGAAAAATGATTTCTCCCTCCTGGGCTGGGGTAAGAATAAAACAGGGCTACGAGAAAACACTCGTTAGTATTTTCAATTGAGAATATACCTCTACATAGAAATATGTAATTTCATTATATTTTATTGTAATATATATATTATTTTTCGACAATATAGAAATAAAATTGAATGAAATGTAGAAAATTCTGAGCGCAGAGATAAATGCATCTAATTTTAAGGATCGCGTATATGTGCATACAGGGGACATACATATAATTCTAGCATAGGTTGATGAGTAATTCAGAAAATAATGATGAGGATATCGGAGCGCAGCAATTTAAATTAAGGTGGAGAGAGCGAGTAAGGAGGGATGAAGAGAGGAAGAGGTGCTTACTCTTTATTTAATGATCTCGTCGTTCACGAACTTTACCTCGTGGTTTTGTTACGAGGGGCGAATTTGGGAAATTTTAGAGGCAAATTAAAATTTAATTTCAACTGATGGGGAATCCTTGTTTTACGTAGAAACTTTTATGGACGGAAAAAAGATAAAAATAAAATTAAAAAAAAAAAAAATAATAATTATATGCACATACTTAGCTGATATCTATAGTGCAGTACTCTAGAGGGATTTTAACTAATCGTAACAACGTTCAGCTCTATTAGGAATTTCAATAAATTAATACTTTATTTCTATAAATTCGAAAAAGAAAATAATTACCTGAGAAAAGTAAGAGAAAACTCTTAGACACTTTGAAGCTCGAAATGATCTATCGTTTATAGAAGTAATTTCGCCATTACTCCAAGTTTCACGTTTCATACAAATTTGACATTTTATCGAATAATTCATCGTATACGTATAAAGCTCGTAATTATTTCTCATGGTCAGATTAAATTAATTATATCCATTTATATTTCTATATTATATCTAGATTAAACGTACACTCGAGAGGTAATTATCAAATAAATAATTAAATTTATCGTATAATTTATTTTTCTCAGTATGTATGATATCTGCTTTTCTCACTCATGTACCATATAATTTATCAATAATTTAATATAAAAAGTAATTTATTAGAAAAATAATAAAAACTGAAAAAAAGAAAATCTTGGACATTGATCCAAGCTTCGCATTTGATTTGAATAATTATCATACATTAATCTCCTAAGTATCTTCCAAATAATATTATCTTTCCCATTTTTCTTTATTTATCGAAGATAGATTTAACAGTGTACCAAAGAAGCATGCACTTACTGATCTACTCGAGAACGAGATTTTCGATTGAAACGTAAGAATCCTATGGGAAAAAATAAAAAGGAAAAGAAGAAAAAAAAAAAGATAGAAAACGTCTCGAAACTCGAACGTCTCGAAGAAAAAGTTTAAAACGAACCTGACGAACATTCTTCAAATCCGTATCCCAAGTTGTCCTCGAGAACTTTTCAGATCTTTTACTTGCTGCTGATGCCTCTTCTTCTTCTTCTTCTACTACGTCTTTTCCTTTGGAATCTTTCATCCTAACCTTCTATTGTGTCGACAACGATCCTTTATGGATCCTACGAATATCGATCCTATGGAAACTACCACGTTTACCTGAATCCTTCGTCTACCACCTGTCTCGTCTCGAATAAGTGAAAAATATTCAGAATAATATACTGGGTGTACACAAATTTTTCCAATGATCAAAGGATTTTTTCGAGCTCCCAGAATGATATCCTTTTAAGACGAATAAACTTTCGTAGGGTCGTACCTATTGCAATTAGAACAATCGTTGGAATTTACTTAATTAGATATTTTCATTTCAATAAACGTATCCGTGTACTTTTATCTTTCTCTCTGTCTAATAGGATCTTCATAAACAATTTATCAATTTTAGTTGTTATCTCATAGACGGATAGTTATACGTTTTGTTCAAACTTTACCGTCAGTTACACTCAAAACAAAAAATGTTTTATGCACGTTCAACTGTAGGAGAAAGTTTTCACTTTGCAAGCATGCACCCGCACATTCAAACACTCGCGTACAACGTTGCATTGTGAAAAGCTACATTTCTATCTCTTATTTACACACAATCATATATATATATATGCAAAGGTATATACGTAGATGCAACGTATAAGAAGCGCATATCGTATACACGCATACATACACATATCATACTAAATACATAGGTAGTCTTATTCTGAAAAGTTAAAGTTCTCTCTCTCTCTCTCGTTTTATTCTCATTCGTTGGAAAATTTAGCTTTCATATCTGTTCGAACTTGAAACATAAAATTCGCCTTCCAATGGCTTAGTTTTCATTAACCGTCAGTCGTCACGTTAAAAAATAATTATTTCAATCAACTTGTCAGTTCAATTTTCAAAACGTCCGGAAAAGAAGATTAAAAGTCGACGTAAAGCTTTTTACAAAGTTAATCAAAATAAGTTTGAGTTTTATCGCAATTCAACATATTATATACCCCTGCTTCTATTATTTTTAGTATTTAATAAATTTCTTTCTGTTATGTGGGGAATATACGATTATTAAAACTTTACATTCATCTCTATTTTTATTTTTTCTCCCCACCCGTCTTTCCACTTTATTTCTTATATTCAACCACGTTTTTCACAAACGAGAAAACACCAGAACGGTTACAAGGAAGGACCTCAAATTCTGGAATCCTTTGTCGCGAATTTAATCCCAGAACACTCATACAGACACTACTACACTTGAATATATTCGTACCTGTTACTGGGGTGACATGGTTTAACCTTTACCCAGCCACAAAGACTACGCTAATCCTTTCTTCTCCTTCTTCCTTCTCCTTCTTCCTTCTCCTTCTTCCTTCTTATTCTTATTCTTATACTTTTGATTCTTCCTTTTTCTCCTTATTTCTTCAGTTTTTTTTTTTTTACTTTTCCTTTACTCTTTTCCACTTCCCAAGCTTTTCTCTGAGAATGCAATAGTATATACTTTATGGTATATACAGAGTGTCCCAATATTTTATCCCAAAATTTCATCTAAATATAATTTTATTCGAGTAAAAAATGTCATTTGACTTGCAATTGAATCTTTTCAAACGGTCAAAGTTTTATTGGACGGATGTTTTTTTGACAGAACATAGGATTAGAGATATTTTGGGCGCATATTTGAAATGGGACACCCAGTGTAGTTTCTCTCATGGTACATTTACCTTCTTCGTTTCAGTGATTATCCTTCATTTGGTTCCCCAGCGTGGTTCGCCGCACCTCTCGCGAGATTCCCTAGAATTCCTTTCATGTTCCTTTCTCTTCCGATTGTTCGAACCCGAGTCTCCAGGATTCTGTGTGCGTTCCCCGCTCCTGACGATTTTGATGGTCTGAGGATTTCAGATCTATGAAGATGAGAGATTATTATAATTTAAGTTATCTCAAAGCTTAGAGAACGAGACAGATAGATAGAGAGAGATTACATTCTTTTTTAAGATACCCTAATGTGCATTGCTACATTTAATAATACGCAAATATTACTTTTATATGACATTTATAATGCATGCACAAATTTATCTCGATGGAAAATAATGTAGAATAAAAAGATTGGATAAACATGAAAAGATCATTAGAGTTATTATTCATTATAATGATAACGAATTTAAAAGTAAAGCTTGTTCTTTAGATCGTTTTCTAAGATCAGACGGTAAGATAAAAAAGCAGTACCCTGTCGGTGTTTTAAAAGAAGGGAGAAAGAAAATGGCAATGATGGCGTCGCGGTATCCAAACCTCGAAGAGAGGCATTGTTATCTTCATCTGCTCATAACTACGTGCTTTCTCTCTTATCCTCTCGGCTAATTCTTCCGAAGCTGCTTAACAAGAATTTGCATACTAACGCGGCCTGAAGATTAACGCTTCCACCTGAATCTTCTCTCTAACTTTGCCAGGACAACGTAAGAAAGACTACGAAAGATCGAAATTTCTATCAGACGAAATAAAATGACGAACATCCTATACTTTTAGATTCATTACATTTTCCATCGTTATACATGTAATAATATATATTTCAATATTTTTTACCTATTATTTAATTAGTATAATATAAAGAAAATCAAATATGCATTTAAAAAATGGAAGATGAAGGAGAGATGGAAAAAGAAAGAGAGGGAGAGAGAATAAAAATACATTGAATTTATCAAAAGTATAAGTAAACAGTATTTACGTTTTTTCTAGGAAATTTTCAAGCCGAAATTAAAATAAAACACCTGAACATTCGACACTAGCAAGAAAAAAAGAAAAAGATCTTCGGTCCCCTTTCATCCTCCGACACGTTTAAGAGCAACGTAAGTAACGTATTAAGATATTCATTATTCTTATTTCTAACGTTATTTTTTGATTAAATTAATATTATAGGAAGTTCACACAGCATTGGATAGTACAAAAATTGATATACTTGTTACGTTATTCTTTATTGAATTTACTGCTACAATTATTGTCTTATTTAGATCATTTTCAAGATTTTTATTAACAATTTTGACCAATATTACATATGTGTACATTGAATATAAAATTCAATCGTTCGATCTGCACATACGTACACACATTTACATAGATTTAAGTATTTATCTATACGCATCGATCCATCCATACATTATATGAATTTTGAAGACATAGGATTCAATGAGATGTGACAATGGCAAGCATATGGGGCTGGAACTTATGGTCTTTTCTCTTCAGTATGACATCTGTGTTGACGCAACAATGGCCTTGTCCAATAGATGTTCTCGAGTGCTCGTGGCTACTTGACTCTTTTAACACACTTACCTAACCCCTCACCGACTCACCCCATTACTGTACCTTCTTCTTTCCTGTTCATATTTCACTCGTTCTTTATTTCACTCTATCTCTCTCTCTTTCTTTTTTTCTTTATTTCTTTCTATCTTTATTTCTATCTGCGTGCATTCATATACCTCTATCTTTGTCTCACTCATTCTTAGCTACTATTATAGCCTGTTTAGAGATAACGTTCAACGAGGCCACATATGGGCCTCATTTTCGGTCGAATGAATGCCCCATTTGGGGTTTGAGGGGAGAGGGGAGGACGAGGAGATAGGGGGGAGGCGAGTTAGCATCATTCGAGGCATCTTTTCGGGTTGGCCAATTCGATAATGCCAATGGGCAGAGACGTGGCATTAATTCAATTTCGTGATAATTAAGGGGTGAGTCGAATAAGAGGAGGGGGAAACTCTTTTCTACACCTCGTGTGCTAATTCGATTTGAATATACTCGGTTGCGTCTTACATACGTTTATTTTTGTCTATCTTTTTTCTTTCCATTACTTTTATTTCTTTCTCTTTCTCTCTCTTCCTCCAGCTCTTTACAAGTTTTATAACGTAATTAGGTTAAGTATAATCTTTTTTATGTTTTTGCTTTTTGGACTTTTCTCTTGTTAACTTTGCGGTATAATTAAAATGTTTTCATTTTGTTTTCTCCTTTCTAGTTTTTCTTTCTCTTGAATTCATCTCGGAATTTTTTCGATTGATTTCTTAGCGATATTAATATTCTCTTCAAGTTGAAAGTTAAATATCATTAAACAGGATGATTAATAAATAGATGGAAAATGTTATAGAAGTAAAAAAGAAAAGGATGTAGGGGAAAACAATGATTGTGTCGCGAAAATGAGAGAAACGGGAGATGAATAGATAGAAAAATAAAAATAGAAAAATAAAGATAGAAAAATAAAGATAGAGAGAAAGATATAGATATATTCTAACTCTGGCACGTTATGGAACGATGTACGTTTTAATGATAACGAACCAACGCTAATGTTATTAAGCACTTCCACTAGAAGCTCTCCTTCTTATTCTTATTCTTCTTCTTCGTCTTGGTGGCTCTCGAAAATCCCTAAAACGACTTCCGAGAGTCGAGAGTATATACGTAGTACTTGGTGAGACTATGTACTACTACTGTTACTATTAGCATCGATCGTCTACATTGCTGGAGTCGAGTGACCGTGGAAAAAGTTAATAAGAAAGAAGAAAAAAGCTTTCATTTTTATGCGAACATACCCTATACTTATATGTATGTGTATATTTGAACAGGAGGTAAAAGTAAAGTGGTGTGGGCAGTGATGAGTGATTCTACATGTAAAAAAAAGTCGAAAATTCAGTGGGCATGCGTATACTTACATTAGCTATTTCAATAATAGAAAAAATCATCCTTCTCAAGTATCCAAAAAGATCAAACATTTCCCCTCCGTCGTTTGTAATTTAATTAATCTAATTCATATTGAAAAAATAGTCGTTTTAAATTATATATATAACAGATCTATCGATAACAACACATCATGTACGTACGACGAACATAGGAATTTTGTTGCAATAAATAAACTTTCAGGAACTAACAAATGTAAACGAATTTTTAAATGTCGTTTGTTCGAGTAATAAAAAATAAAAAAAGATATGGGAATCATTAGTAGAAAAAGAATTCGTTGAAAAATGTTTCTTCGATTAGTGTGAAATATTTGAAGCATCTATATTGTCCATACATATGTACAATATAATTGTAGATACGTATGTACGAGTACATATGTATATATATATATATATATATATATATATATTCACAGTAATGGATACATATATAAAAGAGAAGTATGTACGATCGTATGCATTTATGTGAATGTGTGTATAATGTGTGTATATGGGTGTGTTAGTAAGGTAGTAAAGTATAGCGTTCATATATGTACCGTCTCATTGAGAATCATCCCATCGAAATTTCCATATTCAAATGGAACGACCGATATATCTGATCGACGTTATTGCACGTAAATGTTATGGATTTAGCGAAACGAGTATGTGTGCTCGTGACAGGCGCAACGGGTATTCGAAAATAGTAGTGATAATTCATTCTTTTAGGTCAGATTACTATTTTTCCTCGAGATTGTTTACTTATTTTAGTATTTTTATTTTCTGCCTCGCGTTTGAATGATTAGTTTTATTTAATATTCCAAAATTAGCCAGGTAAACATTTTCTTTTTTTTTCTTCTTTATTTTTATACGCCTGGACAAGATTTTTGTTCTTATACTTTTTATAGAAGATATATTAAATAATGATAGTTGTTTAACAAATGATTCTGTTCTGTTCGTCAAATGATTCGGTTCATAGCTCATTGATTGTAAGTAAAATCAGTTTCTGTAATGCCTGTATATTGCGAGACACTCGAACGAATTCGATACAGGATTGACTTCCGCATTGCGGTCAATACTCGATTGAATACAGCTTGGTAAAATACATGAAAAGGGAGAGAAGAGGAAAGGAACTTTTATATTTGTTAATCGAAACGGATAACAGGAGACCAGATACCCGAATGTCGATTTTGAACGATATGATTTATGCGTATGCATGTCTTCCGAAGAAAGAAAAAACTAGACGTGACACAATTCGATCATATATATTTATTATAGTTAAATTTCTTTGCTGATTTATTGCCATCCCCTTTTTAATGTATTCACGTTTATTCGTCTACTGTAACACGTTATTTTTACTCGTATAATATAAAATCACATTTATTATTTCATTGATAATTTGATTAAAAGAAAAAAAAACTATTATTAAAAGACAAACATTGTAATCGCGATCTGCCTGAAAAAGTTATTAATATTTTGAATTACTGTTATATCTTAGCTTGATTAATTTTTCAATTCCGCCGAAGAATTCCATAAATTTTTCGTTTCAAGGTACTAGAACGTTAAACTCATCGTCAAAGTATTGTCCCGAGAGTACTCGTTCCTCTTTTATTCTACTCTTATCTTAAATAAAAAAAGAAATAAAGAAAAGAAATGCAAAGGTAAAACAGTACAAAATGGCAACTATTTTTCAGGTCGTTACTCTTAAACATTTTTAGTCTTGTAAAGATTTCTTTTTAAATACAAATAAATAAAAGTTCAAACACGAATTTCGACGAAATTTACGATTAAAATTTGTTGAACTTTAGCGAGAGAAGATAGATATATTCTGTTACTGTTGCAAAATTTATGATATTTATCTTTTGGCTACTTTTTAAAAAGTTGTATGTTCCATGTATGCTTAATAATTCAATGTTTATCGATAAGATCAAAGATACGATTTATTTCATGGTTAAAGCTTGCGTCATGGATCTATATATCAAAGGAATTCTCTTCTACGATCCATCCGGTACTTAGATCTTCAAATGCCCATGCATATGTATGCAAGTGTTAGCATCCAAAGTTGAGAAATTATGCAGTCTTACGTATCCGATTTAGGGTCGTAAGTTCCGGTATTCGATGTATCCTACCTATAATCTAGACCTGAAGTAATATAGAACATGGCGTTCTCCCTAAAATATATGTATATCTATCTATGTACAATGTATATACTCTGTACAGGGTGTTTCATTTCATTCAAATATTTCGAGTATTGTCATTATTTTTCATTCGTCATTTTTAATGATATGAACAAATGTTAACAAAAGCTTAGTTTTATTATTTCATTTCATTGTTTGAAAATATAATGCATTGAGTTTGTTTACCCTAGATAAAAAGACCGATGATTTGAATATATTGAAAATAATAAGATTGGAAAACGAAATGTTCATTCTAATCAAAATGTTGATATTTAAAAGTGGAACAATTGCTTTTTTCAATAATTACATAACGTTAATATTACAGGTGTTGTAAAATGAAACACGTTGTAGATGGATTGGATTCATGGGTCGAAGCAAAAGCGAAACTACTGAAATTTCCTACGAGAGAGAGAGAGAGAGAGAGAGAGAGTGAGAGAGAGGCCTAGCCGTGAGAAGTTTCGAATGGAATTTAGAGTTTATCGATTAACAGTTTAAAATATATTATTAAAACTAAACAACAAATTTTGTAGATTAGTTTTAGTTTTTTCATTTTTGATTCTATGATAATGCATTAGAATATTCTCAGTTTGTTCACATTTGTGTATTATTTTTCAGTCGTAATATTTCGAAGCTATTTCCTAGATTGCTGAAGTAACATGTTTTTTAGAATCTTAAATATAAGTCTACATACATTTATGTAAAGGTTCTGTTTTATGGGCATAAAGTGGAACGCTTGCAGCATATGCTTCACTTAGGTATATTTATTGTATTGCAATATGACTCTAATGGTCCAATTTTGTGCTTTTTGTAAATTAGTCAGCTACGTTTCTTCCACAACGTAAGAAAGTCTAAGGGAAAAAGGGAGAAAAAAATGTGATTCTTACTTAGAAGACAAGGTAAGAAAAAGTAAAAGGGTACTTTACAAAACTCTCTATTCTTTTAAGACACTTTCACGAGAACAGAAGTAGAAGAAGAAGA